GTGATCGTCACCACCATCACCAACACCACCACCATCACCAACACCACCACCATCACCATCAACACCCCCTACCGTGATCATCACCACCATCACCATCATCATCACCACCAACACCCCCTCTGCCATGATCGTCACCACCATCACCAACACCATCACCATCACCATCAACACCCCCTACCGTGATCGTCACCACCATCACCAACACCATCACCATCACCACCAACACCCCCTCTGCCATGATCATCACCACCATCACCAACACCATCACCATCACCATCACCACCAACACCCCCTCTGCCATGATCGTCACCACCATCACCACCAACACCCCCTCTACCGTGATCGTCACCACCATCACCAACACCATCACCACCACTACCACCTCTACATGAACATCACCACCACCATCTCCACCAACACTGCCACCACCACCATCACCACCAACACCATCTCTACCATGATCACCAACACCACCATCACAACTACCACCTCTACGTGAACATCACCACCACCACCATCACTACCACACCACCAACATCACAATCACTACTACTACCATTATCAGCACCTCTATCATCACAATCACCAACGTGACCGTGACCGCCACCACCACCGCCATCATCATCACCTCTACCACCACCACCACCACCACCACCACCACCACCATCACCATCAACACCAGGCTGTTCCTAGATGCCAAGCTGGGAGAGCCATTTTATGAGGCAATTCGTGTTTCTAGAATATTTTCTCGAACTTGCCTGCTGCCCTTAATTACTTCATTTCGTGATCTCGGCTGACAATCAGTAGAAAGAAAAAAAAAACAGAGCGGGCCGCCTCGGCTCCCCGAGCACATGAAAGCGATGGCTTTTCCATCCCGCGGCTGTGAGGTTTCGGCTCAGCACTGGCAGGCCAATGTAAACAACATGTCCAAAGAATTTTAATTGCCATTTCATTAATGAGGTCCCATTACCACCCCTCCCAACCCGCTCTGCTGATGGCCGGGTGCATGCCTGCCCAATTACAATAAAAAAAAAAAAACCAGGTCCCCATAAACTTGGCCCTGGCGTCTGAGGTTAAAGATTAAGTAGTCCTCGGAAAGAATGATAATGAGGGGATAATAATAAGGCACAGGCTATGGAGAAGGTGAGGGTCCCTTTCCCTGCTTCTGGAGAGCCCAGAGGACTGGGCTAGAGTCCACTTGGATGCAGGGGCCGACCGGGACCTTCCTCTTCCTCCATCAGGAGAAGTCTGGGGCTTGACAGGTGGAGCCGGAGGACGCAGAGGGGCTGTCACAGCCAGGGAGATGGGCATTCCAAAAACAATGGCAAGAGCTGACGCTCTAGCATACACAAGGTCTGCTCTCAGCCGACGGGCCCTTAAAACAAAGTCGCTTTATTTTGTAGACAGAGAAATTTGGCAGTACTCTCTTTTTCCCCCCAGTGCTGGCGACCAAACTCAGAGCTCTGTGTGTGCTGGTGAGTACTCCACCATTCAGGCCAATCACCAAGCCTATAATCCTAGTCACTCAGGAGCTGAGAGCTCAGGGCAGTGGTTTGAAGCCAGCCTAGGCAGAAATGTCCACCACGAATCTCTCGCTAATTAACCAGTTAAATAAATAGTAACAAAAACTCTGTTCTGCTAATCATGGTGGGCTGAAGGTTCAAGCCCATTTCTTCTGTCTTCCAAAGATCCCCTTAAAATAACAGCATGACAAGCTCTAGCAAGGAAGCGTGTCTCCCGGAAAAATACATGGAGTCAAAACATCATCAGACAGAGATGGGTCCTTTCGTTGTATCTGCCGACAAGAATTCAGTGGTCTTGTCCAAAAGTAAAAGGCACTTATCTGCTGCCTTTAATTTTTTTATTCCAGTCAAAGCAACTAATCATAATATGTGACTTGGCTCAGCTGTGACAGTAACCCAGGGTGATAAAGCAATTTAGAGTACACACATGAGAAGTCTGAGGGGAGGCCAAGGCTCAGTTTACACAGATGTCAACTCACAACACCAAAACTAAAAGCATCAGAAATTGACAGTATATATGAATTGCCTACATAGGTAGAGGTAGAGGGCTGGGGGTGTAGCTCTGCGGTAGAGCACATACATAGCATGTACAAGGCCAGAGCAGCACCGAGAGGGAGGGGGAGAAGGGAAGGAAGGGAGGTAAAGGGGAGGGAGGGAGGGGGGCAGGGGGGGAGGGAGGGAAGAAGGAAGGAAGGAAGGAAATCACAGGTGACGAGGCTTTTAGCTGACCCAGAGCCTTCATTTCTACTCTTTTAGGACTGAGAATGTGGAAAGCAAGGCTTCGTGTGAGGAGAAGAGCAGGCACTTCCTTATCACGGAAGCCTGATGACCACAGGACCCATCTTGTATTCACAGAACAGCATAACCAAAATAACTGTCTTTTTATTTAGTTTTTATTTTTATTTATTTGTTGGTCGTGGGGCCTGAACTCTGGGCCTGGGCGCTGTCCCTCAGCTCTTCAGCTCAAGGCGAGCGCTCTAGCACTTGAGCCACAGCGCCACTTCCAACGTTTTTTCTGTGTATGTGGTGCTGAGGAATCAAACCCAGGGCCTCATGCATGCACCACAAGCTCTCTACCACTGAGCCACCTTCCCATGGGCCTAATTAACTACCTTACAGCTGCTCCCCAGCAGAGGGCGCCTCTCAGAACCTCTGAGGTGACCGCAGGAGGCGGGCTGACCAAATCCCGCAAGCCCAGGGGGGTGTGGGGACCCGGCTCCCATTACCTGCATAGGCGTTCGCCTGCTGCAGAAGGTCGGTGCAGGTGTGCACGTCGGCAAAGGCGCGGATGCCCAGGCAGTTGGTGGGATGCAGCTGAGACTGCAGGAAGTCGCAGCAGTTCTGCCGCACGTCCATGAGCTGCAGCAGGCTGGCCGCCGGGAGCAGCACCTGCGGGAGAAGGTGACACCCTGAGAATCTAGGTCCCCCTAAGAGCACGGCTGTGTGCATGCTGCCTCGTCCCCCAGGCTCGTGGCTCTCCACTCCTGGCCAGCATGATGCCCACGTGGCCCAGTCGGCCTTCCAGCCTTCTTGCCCACTCCTGTCCTGAGCTGAACCCAGCGATCCACTGCACGTGAGGGCTACTCAGGAGATCTGAGATCCGAGCAGCAGCATGAGTCAAAGTCAGCCCAGACAAACCCAAGACTCTCACTTCCAATCAAACACCAGCAAAATACCAGAAGCGGAGGTCTGGCTCAAGTGGTAGTGTGCCAGCTTTGAGTAAATAAGAGAAAGCTCTGCGGGGCTCCAGTGGCTCACACCTGTAATCATCGCTACTCAGGAGGCTGAGATCTGAGGATCACGGTTTTGAGGATCATGGTTTTTTTTTTAAAGCCAGACAGGGCAGAAAAGTCCCTATGAGACTCTTATCTCCAATAAACCACCAGAAACTGGAAGTGACACTGGTTCAAGTGGTAGAGTGCTCGCCTTGAGCTGAAGAGCTCAGGGACAGCGCCCAAGCCCAGAGTTCAAGCCCCACGACCAACCGAAAGAAAGAAAGAAAGAAAGAAAGAAAGAAAGAAAGAAAGAAAGAAAGAAAGAAAGAAAGAAAGAAAGAAAGAAAGAAAGGAAGGAAGGAAGGAAGGAAGAGCTCTGAGTTCAAGCTCCAGTTAAGGCCTTGAGTTAAGGCCCTGAGTTCAAACCCCAGTATTGACCCAAATACCAGAAAGAAAGGAAAAAAAGAAGAAAAACAGGCCTGGCTGAGTAGCAGAGCACCCGCCCAGGTGGTATGAGTTCAAACCTCAGTACTGATCCAGGAGCTCTACACTGGGCCCCAGAGAACCCAGGCAGTGCTGCCGCCTCTGGTCCAAGAACTGCACTGCGATTTAAGAACCCTGGGCAGCTGCGTGCACACGGAGACCCTGCAGCCCTGGGGCTCCTACTGGCTGTGCCCCGGAGTCTCTCAGTGCTCTAAAGAAGGATGTTAAGGTCTCACCTCCACAGCCTGGCCTACACACGGGACGGAAGGTGACCCTGAGCTCCGAGATGTTTCTTGGTCTCCCCAGGAGCTGCTAACAGTCAGCCAGGTATGGGAACCACAATCTTAAGGCCCTTGGCATACTCCCCCGTCTCAGGAAGGCACTGGTCCATTCCACTGCTTGAGTGTCATGTCCCTGTTTGTGGCAGCCACTGGGCTGGGGGCTCTTAAGATTCCACAGAAGGGGCTGGAAAGGTGGCTCAGTGGTAGAGTGCTCCCCTAGCATGCACGAAGCCCTGGGTTCGATTCCTCAGTACCACATAAGCAGAAAAGGCCAGAAGTGGTGCTGTGGCTCAAGTGATAGAACACTAGACTTGAGCAGAAAAGCTGAGGGACAGTACCCAGGCCCAGAGTTCAAGCCCCAGGACTGGAAAATTAAAAAGATTCCACAGGAGCAAAATAAACCCGACTCATTTCTTACATAGCTTACCACCTGCCTGCTTAAGAGACTCATCCACAGGACATGGATCGGGTAATCATATTCTAGTCTCCCATCCAACCAATTAAAAAGAAAAGGACGTCTTTGGGTATACTCACAGAGAGAGAAAATCTGGGGGTTGGAGGCATGGATCCAGTGGTAGAAAAAGGACATCTGGACATCTGACTTTATTTTATTCTGCCAGTCCTGGGACTTGAACTCAGAGCCCAAGCACTGTACTTTAGTTTTTTTTTTCCCCCTTAAGGCTGATACTCTACAACTGTGCTACCCTTCCACTACTGACCCTCTGGTGTCTAACAGGAGATAAGAGTCTTACGGACATTTCCTGCCCAGGCTGGAGTCCAACTGCCAGCCTCAGATCTCAGCCTCCTGAGTAGCAAGGATGGCAGGCATGAGCCACTGGTGCCCAGCGCTGAGTTTCTTTTTAAAGCTCACAGGGGGCATGAGCAGTTTACCCGTATCCTGAGAGACAAAAGTCGTTCTTGCTCAGGTGTTTTTCCTAAGAGCCAGGAGAGACTGGCCTGAGCAGGCCAGCAGGGCACTCGCTCAGATGGCCAAGCCCTGTGCCAAGACCCTGTCAGGTTTCCCAGGACCTTTCCAGGGTGGCAGAAGCTAGCCCTGCTGATCAAATGTGGGGAAGGCTGCCATCCTCCATGCCGGCTCTGCCCCGCCCTTCACGCTCACCCCGGCTAACACACGGGCCCAATGATTCTCCAAAGGGAAATTTAGGAGGACTCCCCCCTCCCCAAAAAACTCCCAGAGTAGAACTGTGTGACTTAGATGCTTCACGTGGGTACACCCCACATCTCTTTGCCCTGAACAATCCCCTGGCCAGGCCTCTGATCTCCGCCTGGGGAGAGCGGCTGAACCGGCCTGGACAGGCTAGGCCAAGGAGGACACGGCTCTGGGCAGTCCTGGGGAGCTCTGGGGCGGGGGGGGGGGGGGGGGGGGGGGGGAGTAACACCTGGTTTCTTTATTCCAGGAATGACATAAGTAGATAAGTAGGTTCTGTAAGGGAGCCCTTGGCTCAATCTCTTCATCCCTGTGTTTTCAAACAAACAAAAAATCTCCACCGGTGGCTCACGCCTGTCACCCTAGCTACTCAGGATGCTGACCTGCAGATGGTGGTTCAAAGCCAGCCTGGGCAGGAAAGTCTGTGAGACTCTTATCTCCAATAAACCACCTTGAGCTGAAGAGCTGAGGGACAGCGCCCAGGCCCTGAGTTCAAGCCCCACGACCACCACCAACAACAAAATCTCTGCCCGCCACCCACTCCCTGGCTTTGGCTCTCCAGCTGTCTGGGTTTGCAGACACTCAGGGAGTCCCTGGGACTTTCCGTGGGAAGCCACAATGGCTGATGGCCATTTATTACCCTGCCCACAGACAGCACCCCCCCCCCCAACGACTCCCAACATCAGTGCTCATGCTCTGAGGCTCTGCTCACCGCAGAGCCTCCTCCCTACAGCAGCGCTATGTCCTTGGAGTTTGCTGCCCACTGATTCATTCCCGAGGGAGAAAATGACAACCATCACCCTTACCTGGGAGGTGCTTGGTTTGGGGGCTTTTTTTTTTTTTTTGACCATGGTGAACACAACTAGTCCAGATCTCACTCAAAACACACACACACACGTGTGCGCGTACACGCACGCACAAACACACACACACCCTCTCCAAGCTCCGTCCCCACCAGGCGGCCATAAACCAGGGAACTCAATTAACCTGGACGCTTCGCTCCGCCTGGCCCAGAAGATTCCATGCACAGATTAAGTGGAGAGCCATTAACCGTTCTCCTCTGGAACACACACTGGGAGTACAGAGCAGGTCCCCGGTGGCTCCGAGTCCCCGGATGACCTCCTCCAGGTCCAGCGCCTCCCCATCCTTCCCGCACCCTCGCCGGCCCCAGCTACAGAGCCTGGAGCCGGGCCACAGGTGGACCAATCGTCGGAGCATCGCCAGCTTTAGCTCTCCGTTCTAGGCACCCTAGGGTCGTACTGAATTCATCCCAGGTTGGATTTCTGAGGGTCCAGCACCCCTGTAAGACTGTATCCCCCACCAAGCCCCGGCCGGGGTGCGGCTCAGGTGCCTTCTGCTTCCCCAGGTCCTCAGCGGGGAGAACAGCAGCACAGCTTGGGCCTTTAATCGCCCCCGTGCCTGGCCGCCCGTGGGTGCCGAACACCTGCACTTCCGGGACACGCTCCTCCAGTTACGCTCTCCGTCCTCCCCTCCCCCCAGGACACCTCTGCCCACACAGCTCCTGGCTTCCACCAAACCCACTGGACAGATCTCCCAACGCTCCCCACCTCTCTGTGTGGGACTCGCTCCTGAGCTAGCTTCCTGAAACCATCCATGGGAGAGAGGGAGGGCCTTGTGCTTTGTGTAATTGCTCGCCGCCTGCCTTTGATCTCACACTGCCCTGAACGGTGGGTCAAAGGCCCTTTCTCTCCCCTCTTCTTGCTTCCCAGGGAAGGGAGGGCATGAAGCAGAAAGGACACCGGGATGCTTGAGGGGAAGATGTAAAGATGGGAGGTCTCACCGACTCAAACGCTGCTGCCCAACCCTAAAGGGCTCCGGGCCTGGATCTAAGCCCAGGAAGCTCCTCTGGATCTAAGCCTCCTCCAGGGGCCGCCCTGGTTCCCCCGCCCATGTCAGTGGGGCTCTGAGAGGATTTCCTCTTCTCTTGTCGGAAACTCCCCCCCACCCCGCCAAGAGGCAGGACCAGGAGACGGAGCTAAGGGATAACATGACCATGCAGTAGAGGATATCCCAAGTCCGAGCCTGCTTCCCTTAGCAAAACCAAGAGGAAGTGCTCTGCCTCCCAAAGCACCCAGGGAGCCCAGCCAGAGGAGCAGGTGACAGGCCAGGGCTTCTGCCCATTGCTGGGACCAGCAACGGTGCCTGAGTACAACCTGCAGAGAGAAGAGAGCCACAAAGAGAAGTGGAGAGATGAAGAGAAGGGGCAGGATGGATGGTGCTCTCAAGGAGTGCTGCTTTAGGGTTTTGTTGTTTGCTTTTCTGGTGGTGCTGGGCATTGAACTCAGGCCGGCACGCCGGCTCGGCAGGCACTCTTTATCACTTGAGCTGCGGCATGCTTGGCTGCATGGTTGTTTCTGAGGTGCAGACCCCGGCCCGGGCTGGGGAATTCCTACTTACGCTTCAGTCCTGTCTCTAGGGATGTCAAGCGTGCATAACTGTGCCCAGACACTCATGGAGATGGAGTCGCACGAACGTTTATGCCCAGGCTGGCCTACAACTGCATTCCCCATGAATCTCTTGTCTCCCAAGTGGCTAGGATTACAGGCTTGAGCCACCCTACCCAGGTTTGAGTTTTAGACTTCTCTACTTCCTGTCCACTCCCTGCCCACTTCCTGCCTACTCCCTGCTCACTTCCTGTCCACTCCCTGCTCACTTCCTGTCCACTCCCTGCCCACTTCCTGTCCACTCCCTGGCTGTGGGACTGAGGATGACATACCTCATCCCTCTTGTGCCTCTTTCTCAGTAAACACTTGGGAAGATAGAGCAAGGTCAGAGACCAAGGCGGTGGACCAAGGGCTTGGAACACAGACAGCGCTCTCTGTACATCAACTTCGGTTACAATGAACCTGTAAGGGGCCGAGGCTGGGGCTCTAGCCAAGAAATGGGCTCAGCCAGGCACCCGCGGCTCATGTCTATAACCCCAGCTACTCCAGGAGACTGAGACCACGGTTCAGAGCCAGCTGGAGCAGAAAAACCTGAGACTCTACTTCCAAAATAGCTAGCAAGACGCAGGATTGGAAGTGTGGCTCAAGTGCTTTAGCACCAGCTTTCTCCCACCTTTCCAATCCACTCCGCTCATCCCTGACCTCACCACAAGTCAAGAATGAGGAGGGCCCTGAGCCTAGGCCTTGCTTAAGCGTTCTGGGCACACCCAGGAGGAGAGATCCCCAAATGCCCCTCTTCCTGGGAACACTCTCACCACTCCCACAGATGGGGGCTGCCTTGGCGCTCCACGCCGGGCTGGCCCCTCACTCTCAGCCCCCATCGGCTCACAGGCACAGGGGGAGCCGGCAAGGCTTTCCACGTGCACGGGGCAGCAACCCCGCCTGCGTGTTTTAGGTCACAGTGTCCACCACGTGCTAGGCTCCGGCCCCAGCGTGCTGGGTGAGGCTGGCCCCGAGTAGGGGGTGCGCCGAGGCCTACCTGCACGTTGTCCTCCGTCACTTCGATTTCCGCGGTGTAGATGTAGTCGATCAGCTTGCTGAGCGTCTGCCCGTCCACATCCTTGATTTCTATCTTCTTGGCTTTACTCTCAGACATGTCGCCTGCAGGTCACCATGGAAACAACCAGGCCGTGAGTTTTGGCACCTAGGGTGTACCTCACTTCTACGTGGCCTCCTGGCTGCAGAGAAGTGAGGAAGGGATTCACCCACGGTCAGGGATCTACCAGCTGACCCCGGGGGCAGGGCCACATGGACCGAGCAATCTTACACAGGGGACCAGCGGTAACCAAGCCCTGCACAGTGAGCGTTAGACACGCGCTGTCCCCCACCCGGGTCCAGCCAGACAAGAGCGGCTAAAATATTTATAAAGGTGATCAGAATTCAGCAACGGTGTACTCAGAGCACCTCAGACACGAAGCTGCCACATGTGTAGGGCCCTAAGGACAGCCGAGGCTCACAACACTGGTGAGAAGGACGCCATGCCCGTTACCCGGAGGGGACAGGGCATCCATCCCACTGTGGTCGGTCTCAGCTAGGAAGAGGCCAGGGTGACAACCCTGGCCTGGAAATTGCTTCGAGGTATCGCAGAGGAGGGTCGTTTGGACTGGCTGGAAGAAGAGGTGCACAGGCCCCAACGGTGACAAAAGGGCAGGCTGGATGTGGGCTCCATGGGTACAAAGGGACTGCCAAGAGGAGGACAGGCAGGGTGGGCCAGGATGCACCTGAACTTGGACGCCAGCGCATGGAGAGGCTCTCCACAGATGGACATTTCTGAAGGAAACTTGGGGTGCAGAGGGGAGACGGGCTGGGAGGAGAGAGCAGTTGGGAAGCCCCAAGAAGCAAGGCAGCACTGGTAGAGGGCAGTGGGTGATGGCACCCCACAGTCTCATGGTGCCAGGAACCCTGACCACAGACAGCGCCTGGCTGAGCCACACAGCCGCAGCTTTCCGGAAAGACAAGATGCCCACACCCGTCTGCAAAGGGGTGAAACAGAGGACAACCCGATTGTGACAAGCGTGGTACCCAGGGCCCTTGCTGTGAGGGTAAAAACAAGAACGTGGCGGGGGGGGGGGTCTGTGTTCTCTCTGTGGCACTCGTAAGCCAGAACCAAAGGAATGCGGTACAGTACAGCGTGTGGGCTTCCAAGGTGCCCACCTCCACGCTGCGGGGATGGCACCAAGTTCCTCACCCATCCACCCTGGCACTGTTCTCCATCTGAAAGGAATCTGAGACACAGAGGAAAGAGGGGTTGCTGTCTTCGCTGCCAGGGGTCAGGTGGATCAGGGACTCTGGCCTCTCCCCTCTCTCCTCTGACGGCTGTGGACAGTGGGGTAGGAGGAAGAAATGGAGGAGAGATGGGGTTCTCCTCCTGCAATCTCCTCTTGCAGACACTGACACAAGGAAATCACACGGTAAACGCTGCTTCTCCAAGTGGCTATTAAAAAGTTCTCCAAGTGGCACCGGTGGCTCACGCCTGTCATCCTAGCTACTCAGGAGGCTGAGATCTGAGGGTCGCGGTTCAAAGCCAGCCTGGGCAGGAAAGTCCATGAGACTCTTATCTCCAATAAACCACCAGAAAACAGGAAGTGGCGCTGTGGCTCAAGTGGTAGAGTGCTCGCCTTGAGCTGAAGAGCTGAGGGACAGCACCCAGGCCCAGACCAACCAAAAAAAAAAAAGTTCATTAGGGAAGGGCCAACTGAAAACATATTGCAAAAGGTAATCAAAGGTGGCTAGTTCTTCACTTCAGGTCTTGGGCCTTAGAAAATAAGACCAGAGAAAGAGCAACCAGACTGTCTATAAGGCTGTGATTTCCCGGGCAAGAGTGACACTGCAACTGGCTGGAGACGTGGGATTCATGCCTGGAAGTCTGGTTGTGATCTTGTAATTTGGGGGTAAACAAACGCAAACTCCTCACATTGTAGAAAAATATTTGTACCCATAATATTTCTACACATAAAAGTCTGGCTTTTCTGGGAAGATGCCATATTCTCTGTTATCAGATTCTTATCAGTTTCTGTAATCCTCGGAGATTATTAATAAGGCTTTCTAGACAGAGAAACTTCTGGAGGCTTTTTTCTTGCTTCTCTGAATAACTCCAAAATCTCTCATCTTCTGCATTAAGTTCCTAAGGAACTTCAGTAAGGAAAAACACACTTGAAAGAAAAACCAAGTGGCACTGTTGCTTAAGTGGTAGAGTGCTAACCTTGATCACAAAGAGGCTCAGAGACAGCGCCCAGGCCCAGAGTTCAAGCCCCAGGACCGACCAAAAACAAAAAGGTACTCTGGGAAGGTGGCTCAGAGGTAGAGTGCTTGCCTTGCATGCATGAAGCCTGGGGTTCAATTCTATCATACCACATAAACAGAAAAAGGAAAATGACACTGTGGCTCAAGTGAGAGAGTGCTAGCCTTGAGCAAAAGAAGTCCAGGCCCCAGAGTTCAAGTCCCATGACTGGGAAATAAAAGAAGGAAAAGAAAAAGAAAAACCAAGGGCTCAAGAACAATTGTTTGTTTAGGTTTGTTTTTAGTTGTAGGGTTTAAGAGACTTGAATTCAGGGCCTAGGTGCTGTCCCTGAGCTCTTCTGCTCAAGCACTCTACCACTTTGAGCCACAGCTCCACTTCTAGTTTTCTGGTTAACTGGAGATAAGAGTCTCACAGACTTTCCTGCCCAGGCTGGCTTTGAACCATGATCCTCAAGTAACAAAGATGACAGGTGTGAGCCATGGGTGGCACCCACCCCACAATAGTTATTTCCTAAGAAAAATCTTCTCCTTGTAGTAAATGAGAGGCCTGGGTAGGTGTCTGAGACTTGTAGAATTCAGTCGTGCTATTTCTTACACCAGTGGAAATGACTACTCCACCAAACAATGATGTTGGCTTCAACAGTCCCTGGAAATAGAAAAGGTAACAGTGGCCTCTATGTACCAGGCTCACTGCTAAGGATTTCTACTCATTATTTCATTTAATCCTTGTGATAACTCCTCAGATAAGAGCAGGGCACTAGAGTCCTACACCTCGTAATCCTAGCTACTCAGGGGGGGCTGAGATCTGAGGATCACAACACCAAGCCAGTGTGGGCAGAAAAGCCCACAAGATGCTTACATCCAGCTAACTACCAAAAAAGCACAGCAAGAGGAAATAGAGGCTTGGTGTGGAGCTGTGGCTGGACGAGGTCTCTCTGAGAAGGAGCCAACTCACAGGGTGAGGTGAGAAGCAGCCCGTGAGACGAGGGCCAGGACACCTGGGCGCAGGGCTGGACGGTCAGTATCCTTGGGGCCAGCACAGGGCCCCGGGGCAGCATGCAGAGGGAGGAGCACCTGACCAGCCTGGGGGCCTCCTCCATCAGCAGTGTACCTGGTGCAGGGGAGGTGCCACAGACAGGAAGCCCGGCCGTGGGCTTCCTGGAATCCGGCCAGACCCGGCATATGTGAGCGAGTGAGACAACGTCTTTCCTGGAGACTTGGCAAAGGGGCTCGACTGCAGCAGATCCTGAATATTCATCCTCTCCTCATCCTTCCCCCAAATCTTCCATCATCACAGCTCTGAACCTCCTCCTCCAGAAAGGCCAAGAGAAGGCCCTGCCCTTCACCCAGAGGGGCCAAGGCATGAGCTTGATGGTCCAGCACCAGGCCAAGGTGCGTGGGCAAATCCATTTCCCTCTCTCGGCCTCAGTTTCCCCAACTGCAAAGTGAGATCCCAGCAGGCTTGGCTGTGAGCCCAGTAACTTTCACGACCAGCAAGCTGCCCTTAACGACTGTGGTGCACGCTGGAACTGGAGAACTAAAGGACATTCACTCTACCTCCCTGTTCCCCGTAGTTGAACAAGAGACGACAGGTCCAGCTGACCTGGCTGGGGGGTCTGGTTCGAGCGAGTTCCCCATGCAAAGTTGAGAACAGAGAGGCTCCTCCCGGTGGGTTCCAGAGCCTCAGTCTTCCCTCCTGAGACCTGCCGCCCCCCCCCCCGACCCCAGCATACCTGTGAACATGGCACAGAAGTAGGGGCTGCAGGCCGCCAGGACTACCCGGTGAGCTTCGATCTCCACGTCTTCTGCCACGATCATCACGTCACACAACAGCTGCTTGCTGTAAGATACCAGCCAGGGGACGGGGGTGGGTCACGCACAGCACGCACACCTGTCTCCTGTCAGACATGGGAGTCATTTTTCCTCCCACCCAGTTCTCAGAGTGGTTGCAGAGGCTTGCTGCTCCAACCCTGTCTGTCAGGGGAGAGACTCAGGGATTCTTTTTTCCCCTCAGTCCAGGATAACCTCCTGTTCATGCTTTCCTGAGGCACAAAGAAAAAAGCCGAGCTACTGCAACCATGAAGCAGCTTCCTTTGCCTTCATCTCTCTGCTCCCCAGTCCCGCTAGCTCTGAGAACCAGAGAGCAGAGGCAGGGCCTGGGGCTGTCAATCAAGCAGCTGCCAGAGTGCTGAGTGTCCAGGAGCAGGTTCGAGCCCTGAAGGTGTGCCGTAATAACCCGAAAGCGAGACAATCCACAGAGACACTGTTGAAGGTGACAAAGGAGTTTTATTATTTGGTCTGCAGCTCCGTCCTATGTTACCTCAGAACTAGGAGCAACTCCAACCTCCAAGGAGGCAGGGTTTTGGTTTTTTTTTCCTTTTTCCTCCTTCCTACAAACCTCACCTGCCTACTCTCCACAGACTTCTCTGCTTTCCAATGACCTCTTTGCCCCTCTGTCTCTCCACCTCTCCATGGGCCTCTCCGATCTCTGCAGGCCTCTCCACCTCTCCGTGGGCCTCTCCGATCTCTGCAGGCCTCTCCACCTCTCCGTGGGCCACTCTGAGCTCTGCAGGCCTGTTGACTCCTTCACAGACCTCTCTACTCTTCACAGGCCTTTCCATAGGCCTCTCAGCCCTGCGAGGGCCTCTCCACCTGGATCTCTTTTCTGGCCCTGGTCTCCTCAGGCCTCTCTGCCGGCCCGGGGCCTCCCCTCTACTCAGTGCACCTCTTCCCACGTGTCTCATCTCCCCTTCTCCAACTCCTCCCCGGAAGCCCTGCCCCCCAGCCATCCTTTGATGGCCTGCCCCACCCCCAGCAGCCTGGTGGGCGTGGCCCGTGGTGACGACAGCATGGAGGCGGGGCTTCCTGCCCCTCAGGTTTTCACAGTGCCAGCAGCCAGATGAGGAAGTGGCAGCTCTGCAAGGGCTCCACCACGGAGGCCAGCATGGGAGGGGAGGCCAGGGCCGCTATGCCTGAATGCACGGGACTCCCAGAGGCCCTGCCACCATCGGTAAGGAGGCCACGACCATCTGTCTCTGCTATGCTCAACTTGGGAAGGGCCTTGTCTCTTTCACACTGTAATCCTAGGTGCCTGACTGCATAACCAGCACACAGTAGGCCCTACGCTTTGCTGAATGAATGAATGGAAGGGATCAAGTCACATCCCTGGGAGGGAAGGGAAATGTGACCAGCAAGTGTACAGCCTGGTGGGGTACCACAAGATCCTGTGGGTCCGCAAGGACTTCTTCCAAGCTCTTCTTAAAGTCTATTATGAATGTAACCGACAGCATTTCCTGAGTTACAAGTGTTGGGCACTGTTCTAAGCACTTGTCTGTACACATGATTTCATTCCGTGCTATTATACCCAATGGAGTTATACCTCGTGGCTAGGCCCTGTGTTACAAACGAGGGAGTCGAGGCTCGCAGAAGTTAAGGAAGTTACCCCAAGTTCACACAGAAAGGGGCGACACGTGAAAGTAGAGACAGGAACGTGGCTTAGCCCCAGAGCCCCGTCTACAGCCTCTCCTCCAGACTGAAGCACCAAGGGCAGAAGGCAAAAGCAGGGAAGGCAAACACATCTCATTGGTGACTCACGGACTGTGGTTCAGGGACATCTGAGGTCATGTCTGGGACAGATGGAAGAGAAGCCACACTGGCCAACTGAGGCTCAACTCAAGCCACTGTCAACTCCCAGCTTCCCTTGGAGACAGGGTCATAAAAGCTGCCCCTGCCTGAGCTGCAGATGCCCTTGGAGATTCTCTGGCCATAAAGTCCGGAGGAAGAAAAGGATGTCTGGGGCCACAGAGGCCTAGACCTTGAACCCAGGGCTCTCAGCTCTAGACACGGTGCTTCTCCCAGCACACCTCCTGCTGGCTGATGTGCAGAGTGGGCAGCTCCATCAAGGAGAGTGGCTCACGCAGAACACAGTCCCGGTGAAGAGGATGCTGGGAAGGGCAAGACCACGGGACACCAAGAAGAAAAACCTAGCGTTGGAAGGCTGAGACCTCACCCCCAGCAGGCAAAGTTGACCTCACATGCTCACATGACTGCACTAAACTACAGGACAAATAAGACAGTGTGGTCACCCAGGATATACATCACAGGGACCAAGTGTGGGGGTGTGGTCACAGAACCCAGGGAGGTTCCTCAATGTGGTCAGAATTTACTAGAGGAAGAAAAAATGTATTCCCTATACATAACTAGAAAAGGAGGGAAGGAGACGGAAGGAAAAGAAAAGTGAGAGGAAGAATACAAGGAAGGAAAAGAGGAAGGGTAAGAACCATAAAAAAAAAGCACAGAACAGGGGCTGGGAAGGTGGCTCAGTGGTAGAGCGCTTGCCTTGCATGCCTGAGGCCCTAGGTTCGATTCCTCAGCACCACATAAGAAAAAAGAAAAAAGCCAGAAGTGGTGCTGTGGCTCAAGTGGTAAAGCACTAGCCTTGAGCCAAAGAGCTGAGGGACAGCGCCCAGGCCCAGAGTCCAGGCCCCACAACCGGACCCAAAAAAAAGCACAGAACACAGAGACAGCAAAAAAATAGAACTGGGAACCCACAAGTAAGCCCTCACATGGGAAATTGGTTTTTCATAAGTGTGTCAAGATCATTCAACTACAAAAGGCAAGTCTTTTCAAGAAATGGTACTGGGACAGCTGGATACAGGATGCAAATGAACTGAGTTGCACCTCTGCCTCTTACCATACATAAAAATTCACTCCACAGGAATCAAAGACCTAGGGGAAACATGAAATGCTCATGACTTCAGACAAAGCAGCAGTTTCTTAGCTATGATGCTAAAAGCACAAACAACAAAAGAAAACGTGATAAATGAGACAAACTGAAAACATTTGTACTTCAAGGGACAATCTCAGGAAAGTGAGAAGCCAATCTATAGAATGGGGAAAAAAAAGAATTGTAAATCATCTATATTAAAATGGGCTTATACCTAGGATATAAGGTGAACTCAATTGCTTACAAGTTCAATAATAAGGAGAAAACTAAGGCAGCTCATATCTGTAATCCTAGAAGGTGGAAATCAGGAGAATTATGGTTTTGAAAGCAAAGAGGGCACAAGACTCCACCTCAAATAATAATAACAATAATAATAATAAAGAAGCTGAGCATACTAGAGTCCATCTGTCATCCCACCTGCAGAGGAAAGATGGTCCAGACCAGCCTGCTCAGATGTTGGACTCTATTAGAAAAATAATTAAAGCAAAAAAGGACAGAGGCAAGGCTCAAGTAATAAAATGCCTGTCTAGCAAGTACAAGGTCCTGAGTTTAAACCCCAGGACTGCCCAAATCAGATAAAGAGAGAGGACTCCACTTTTTTTTTTTTTAAAGTAGGCCAAGGATCTGAACAGACATTTCTCTAAATAAGATATGGAAACTGCAACCAATGATCAGAGGAAATGACATTAAGCACCATTCGTCTCTAGGGAAATACACATCAAAGCCACTATAATGTATCTCCTCCCAGTCGGGACAGCTGTGATCAAACACAGGGGTGGCAAGTTGTTAGGGGAGAACTGGAGAGCACGGAATCGCCATCCATTGCTCCAGGGAAGAGTCTGGTAGGCTGTTCCTCCAGAGGTTCGTCATGGAGTCGTCATACAATCCAGCAATCCAAGAGAAAGAAAAACAAGCCTTCACACAGAAATCTGCACGTAGATGTGTCCAGAGCATTGTTCATCAGTGCTACAGGCCAGACGGGACAAGAGAGGTCATGAGGTCATAATAGAGAGCTAGCATGTACTAGGTCCTGGGTTTGACTGTCAAGATGGGGTGGGACAGACTATGGGCTCCAAATACTCATTGGATAATAGTTGCTCTGTCCCCCTGCTTGCTTCATCTCAGGCCTGGGCCAGGGGTACTAGCCCAGGAAGGACCACACCCCCACTGCCCACTAGATGCTAAGTCAGGAGCCAATGACACGGTAGGGATTCTTCTACCCAGAAGCTCCATGGTCTGGGCCAGAGAGCGGGGCAGGGAAGTACAAAAGGAACGGGAAGGCTGGGCGGTTACCATGCCAACGGCCCATTCCCTACCCTGGAAGAATAGGAAAGTCAGGGATTGTGTGATTCATAAATTACAAAGAACATGTGTGCTTAAACTAAAATAGCTTAAAAATTGAGAGAGGGGAAGGCGAAGACAATACAGGAGAAAGCCCTGGGTCCCCAGAATATCGTGTGGCATTTCAGTGGCGTAATCCTGACAGCAAAAGGCTTTTAGACAGTCCCTTCATCAAAAACCGATTATGCCTGTCTCGCCCTGAAAGTCTCCCAGATCAAGAAGCCTGTCAATCCAGGCCCTTTCTCTCTGCCTGACCTATTGTGCTTTTTCTGTTTCCAGAAATTGGCCAGCTGGCTGCCATGGGCTCACACCTGTAATCCTAGCTGCTCAGCAGACTGAGATCTGAGGATCCCACATCTAAACCAACCCAACCCAGGCAGAAAGGTCTGTGAGATTCTAATCACCAATTAACCAGCAAAAAGCTTGGAAGTGGAGCTGTGGTCCAAGTGGTAGAGGATAGCCTTGACATAAAAAGTTAAGGGAGAGCATGAGAACCTGAGTTCAAGCCCTAATACCAAAGTGCACACACGCATGCGTGAGCACACACACACACACACACACACACACACACACTTTCATTTGTAAAGAGTTTACTTTCTCCCTCAACAAACACTTATTTCATCACGGCCCCTCACGAGTTAGTTCTTAGGAAGGAAGGATTCTCCAAAGTTCAGGGGACATACTTGCTTCAGGCAGTGACCTTTAGGAAACACACCTGTCAGGTGCACGGTACCCTTAGGGAGCTTAGAAAGGGGGGGGGGGGGAGGAGAGAGTGAGTGAGTAAACAGGTCCAGAGCCAAGAATGCCATAAACCCACAGCACAGGCGAAGGAAGCTTCTGCCTTCTGGTGAGGCGGTGTCCACAAGGGTTTGTACACAAACAGAAAGCATGGGTGCCTAAACACATCTTCAACAAGTTTGTCACACATGCACGCTGGCTCACAGACGGTCTGCGGACTCTCACCACCGGGTTCAGAAAACACGAGAGCACGTCTGCGTTTCATTTCTTCAACAGAGAAAGAAATGGAAGTGCATGGCTGGACCCTGGTGGCTCACATCTGTCATCCTAGCTATTCAGGAGGCTGAGATCTGAGGATCACAGTTCAGAGGCAGCACGGGCAGGAAAGTCTGCGAGACTCTTATCTCCAATGAACCACCAGAAAACCAGAAGTGACACTGTGGCTCAAGTTGTAGAACGCTCATCTTGAGCTGAAGAATTGAGGGACAGCGCCCAGGTCCAGAGTTCAAGCCCCATGACCAACAACAACAACAAAAAAGAAATGGAACTTCATTTCAAGGGTGAGAAAGTCTTCCATTTGAGTGGACGTACTGCCACAGCAGGCTCAGCCCAAGGAATAAGAGAGCCAGGCCAAACAAAACTAGCATGTTCAATTGTTCATCTGCGTGCATGTGTGTGCGTGTGTGTGCGTGTGTGTGTGTGTGCCCACGCGCGTAGGTGTTGCAATCATTCCATTCTCAGTTTCCAAGCCACTGCTTTGGTTAGAAATCAAGCTTATGAACAGACCTGCTGTAACCACAAAGGAATTTTCCTCTGTGATTAATCACTGAAATGCTAGGTGTGAAATAAACACCCAACACCCAGGGAAGAGCGTGCTGGCTGGCAAAGCCACCCTTGTCTCAGGATGTGAAAGCGGAAGCCCAAGAGTGGGTGGCGAGAGCCAGGATTCATCGGTGGTGGCGTTCTGATCTGCTCCCACTCCCTGAGGAAACTCAACCCTGCCAAGTTCCCTGGGGGAAAGAGCGCAGGCAAAGACAGGAAGAGTACCTCCGCAGTTCGTTCATAGCCTTGAAGGCCTTCCCCATGTGGGCAGGGTTGACAGTGACGGTTCTCTGGTTCTTCTCGTCGTCCTGGGCCTGCGCTGGTGGCTGGGAGCTTGGCTTGATGCTGCAGGAAGGAAGGAAGGGCAGGGAGAGAGATCACACATGGGTAAAGTCAGCCGTCGGTACTTCTACCCACCCACGGGAGGCATCTGGGAGGCCGGCCCCCTCGCCACAAACTGGCAGGGAAGGAGACACACTGGCTGGCACAGCGGACCTGCGGACCTTCTGATGGCACGTGCACTCCATTCTGTAAGTGGACCTTGTTCCATCGAGGGCTGTGTGACTTTGTGGGGGCCTTATCCTCAAAAGGAAGGGGGACGGAGTGCTCTATCACCTCATCACTACACGGTTAATGGGCTCTGATAGGGGCCAGATACTGTATGTAAATACAAGAGAAACATAAAGCTTACAGCTCACAGGGGCTGGGAAGGTGGCTCAGTGGTAGAGCGCTTGCCTTGCATGCCTGAGGCCCTGGGTTCAATTCCTCAGCACCACATAAGCAAAAAGAAAAAAAGCCGGAAGTGGCGATGTGACTCAAGTGGTAGAGTGCTAGCCTTGAGCTGAAGAGCTGAGGGACAGCACCCAGGCCCAGAGTTCAGGCCCCACGACCGGAACCAAAAACAAAAACACAAACAGCTCACCTGGCACTGATGGCTCACGCCTGACATCCTAGCTACTCAAGAGGTTGAGATCTGACAATCATGGTTCAGAGCCAGACTGGGTAGGAAAGTCCATAAGTCTCTTATCTCCAATTAGCCACCAGAAAACCAGAAGTGGTGCTGTGCCTCAAGAGAGTGCTCACCTTGAGCTGAAGAGCTCAGGAACAGCGCCCAGGCCCAGAGTTCAAGCCCCACAACCAGCAAAACATAAAAATAAAAAGCTTAGAACTCACTGGATGAGAAGGTCAAGTAAACTTTCAAACATCACATCTTAATTATTGTGACCCAACAAGGTCAAAATGAAACCCCCTTGTCCAGCCCATCAATGCTGTTTGTGTGTGTGCACATGTGCGTGCACGTGCCAGTGTTGAGGCTTGAATGCAGGGCACTGGGCACTGTCCTGAGAATGTTTGCTCAAGGCTAATGTGCTACCATTTGAGTCACAGCTCCATTTCTGGCTTTGTAAAGGCGGTTAGTTGGAGATAAAAGTCTCGTGGACTTTCCTCCCTGAGCTAGATTTGAACCATGATCCTCAGATCTCACCCTCCTGAGTAGCTAGAATTTTTACAGGGGTGAGCCACTTAGCTTTGATCATGGCAAGCGCTGTGATTGCATAGAAGCTGGAGTTCTGGGTGATGGGAAACTATCCCGGTGATGCCAGCCAGGGTCAGGTAAAACTTGCCCAAAGCAGAAACCTGAAGGGAAAGCCAGGTAAAAAAGGCAACTGGGGAGCACTCCAGGCAGGGGAAATGCACAGAGACCTGGAGAGAAAAGGAGCAGTGTGTTCAACACCTGGCTGTTGAGCAAAACTCAAGGAGAACGCAAGAGGGGAGTCTCAGAAGGAAGACCGCAGAGTTTGGGTGTCTCCCTGAAAGCCAAGCAAGCCATCAAAGTTGGCTTTACGCTGAGCACTGGACCAAGAGGTAGGTGGACAATCTGTGCCTCACGGAGAACAGTGAGGCTGAGGGAAGGCCGCTAGGAAGCCATGATTCCACGGAAAGACCAGATGGCAGTCATTAGAAGAGGCTGGCGGAGCGGGCTAGGTGATGACCGACAGAGGTCACGTGCAATCTTAGCTCTCCACCCTAAAACCCAGACGCAAAGCAATGCCAAATCCCCATGGAGATCTGAGCCACACAGCTCCCAACCACTCCTGAACGTGCCGCAAGGCAGAGGGGGTTAGGAAGGACGATTCCCCAAATTGGTTAGGAGGAAAAAGAAAAAAAAAAAAAGTCATCCAGCTCCAAGGTCAAGTCTGAGATCATGGAAAAACCTCTGCTTAGATGAGGCTTTCTTTTGCTAGTTGGAAAATGGAACCCTCTCCCCTGATGTGGATTTGGGGACTCACAATCTAATCCAACTCTAGGACATGGAAAGTAGTCTCCTTTGACTTTCCCTACCAGGCATGGTCCATGCTTCTGGCTAGCCTTGCCAACTGGCGCAGGCTGATACAGTTAAGATATGGCCTGAGACGCTCCATCGATCTCATGCTGAGATCCATCACTAGTGGAATACGCAATATGAAGTTCATGTCAGACCCACAGTTTGTCTGAGCGTAACAGACTCCTTCCTGCCTTCAGCCTAGCAGATCAATGTAAAGCCACGGGCATCTGAGACTAAGGTCTAGGAACAGGAAAGTCAGTTAAGTAAAGGACAATCAATATCAAGGAACACACAATGGAAGACCATTTAGAGTTATGTGTTAAAAAAGGCAAAAAAAAAAATCTCAAGGCAGAAAATGTGACCAGAGAAAGCACCCAGTAACAATGAAACATTTCATATCAGAAATATACAGGCAGCCGGGCACCAGTCATCCTAGCTTCTCAGGAGGCTGAGATCTGAGGATCATGGTTCAAAGCCAGCCTGGGCAGGAAAGTCCATGAGACTCTTATCTCCAATGAACCACCAGAAAACCAGAAGTAGTACTGTGGCTCAAGTGATAGAGCGCTTGCCTTGAGCTGAAAAGCTCAGGGACAGCACCTAGGCCCAGAGTTCAAGCACCAAGACCGACAAAAAAAAAAAAAAAAAGAAATCCACAGGGCTAGGAATATGGCTCAGTAGTAGAGTGCTCACCTAGCATGCATGAAGCCCTAGGTTGGATTCCTTAGTACCACATACACAGAAAAAAAAGCCAGAGGTGGCGCTGTGGCTCAAGTGGTAGAGCGCTAGCCTTGAGCACAGAAAGGCTCTGGGACAGTGGCCAGGCTCTGAGTTCAAGCCTTAGAACCAGCCAAAAAAAAAGCAAAAAAGAAAAACACAAAAAAAGAAATCCACAAGTACAATAATTTCTTGGTATTCCCTTTCCTTACTCCATAGTCAATAAGATATTAATTTCTACTCTCTAATAACAGTTCAATAGTTTCATTTTTTTATATTTGAGCCCTTATTTTTGACATTGATTTTTTTTTTTGCTTGAAATAGCCCTTGTTCTCTGGTCATAGCTTTGATATTAAAGATAGTTCTAACACTGCCCCTTGTATAATTGTTACAGGGTTTTTACAGATGCTGTTTACCAAGCTAAGGAAATTCCCTTCTGTTTGTATTGAGTTTTTTATCATAAACATATACTGGACTTTATCAAATAGGTTTGTATGCCTAATGATTAGGTTTCTTTTCCTTTAATCTATAGTGTGATAAATTACATAGGAATAATAAGTATAATAAGTGATATCTAAAATATAAATAATGTAATGCATAGTATAACAATAAATATTACAATAAATTATACTGTATTATATATTTATATTTTGTTATATACAACATACAATATGTAATATACATGTTATATAATAATATAAATAATAAATATAATAATGCAAACATACTTGAACTACTGGGATAAACCTAGAAACTATAAAATGCTGCACAAATAGTCATTATAAATACTGCCTTCAGACTATGGAAATACTTAGAAACCAAAAGGAGATATAACTGGCAATGAATCAAAGAGCCATTGAAGGTTTGGGGTGGGGGAACTGATAAGATTAGAATTCAGAAAATCCTGGAGGACAGGTATTATTAGCTCGGCTTCACCGATAAGGACCTGGTACCATTTGGGAAGTGCTGACAAGGATCTCTAGTATGCCTAATGGGCAGGAAATCTCACTCTTCCTGTTGTGTTGCTCTTTGCACTTTCCAGCAAGTCTGATGATAATACATATCCCTGTGAATACCATGCCCTGTTTACTACAAGGTCTCAGGCATGGACTGCCTATCATTGGAGGGTTAAAGTCCCACTACAGCCTCCCTGAAGCAGTGCTTGATAGTGAGCACAGGCCGGCTTGGAGAAAGACATAGGTCTCCCAGAGTTCTTCCTGTCCTTTATGTGGAGACAAGTCGTGATGTCTTAGGAGAAACCCCTGCTCTGCAACTCAGTACTTGGCCTCTGGTTTCTGAAAGCCTCACGTTTGACAGGTCACTAAACTTGCAGAGAACAAGACATTAAACAGAGCGTCAGGCTCAGGACAGTCAGACTCTCAGGCAAGAGCCCACAAGTAATGAGGAGAAAGACCTGAGCTCCAATGTCCTCCGGCTCTTCCGGCCACAGTCCACCCTCGCATGCATGCAGGTGATACACACTCTACACACACATTCCTCAGTCAAGGGTCAAGTGCCCTGGGGGGGGGGGGGGGAAGAGCTGCCAAATTCCCTCGTTTCCTCCCCCCTTCAGCAGTCCTTAACTACTTAGTTCCCAACGACCAAGTGCTCAGTCTCAGTTCTTGATCCCAAGTAAGTCTGGGGGATCTCCTCCCTCTACTTGTTACACACACACACACACACACACACACACACACACACACAGATCTCCTCCCTCTACTT